CGCGCTGGGGTGTCCGAGGGGCACGGGGTGGGATGGGGGGGGGGTCTCTGGGGTGAAAATGGGGCTTTTTCTTTGGAGCTGGGAGGATCTGGTTGGGGAAGAGGGAGAGGGAGGGGATGGATGTGCTGCCTGGGATGGGGGGATCCAGGGGTGTGCCCAGGATCCCGGGATCCAGGGATGGTGTGTGCCCAGGATGCAAGGATGATGGGTGCCCAGGATCCAGCTTTTTAGGGATCATGTGTGCCCAGGATCCTGATATCCAGGGCTGATGAGTGCCCAGGATCCAGGGATCCAGGGATGGTGTGTGCCCAGAATCCAAGGATGATGTGTGCCCAGGATCCAGGTTTTTAGGGATCATGTGGGCTCAGGATCTGGATATCCAGGGCTGATGAGTGCCTGGGATCCAGGGATGGTGGGTGCCCGGGATCCAAGGGTGATGTGTGCCCAGGATCCAGGGATGGTGTGTGCCCAGGATCCAAGGATGATGTGTGCCCAGGATCCAGGTTTTTAGGGATCATGTGGGCTCAGGATCCTGATATCCAGGACTGATGAGTGCCCAGGATGCAGGGATAGTGAGTGCCCAAGATCCCAAGATCCAGGGATGGATGAGTGCCCAGGATCCAAGGATGATGTATGCCCAGGATCCAGGTTTTTAGGGATCATATGTGCCCAGGATCCTGATATCCAGGGTTGATGAGTGCCCAGGATCCAAGGATGATGTGTGCCCGGGATCCAGGGGTGAAGAGTGCCCAGGATCCCAGGATTCAGGGATGATGTGTGCCCAGGATCCAGGTTTTTAGGGATCATGTGGTCTCAGGATCCTGATATCCAGGAATGATGAGTGCCTGGGATTCAGGGATGGTGAGTGCCCAAGATCCAGGGATGTTGAGTGCCTGGGATGCAGGGATGGTGAGTGCCCAAGATGCCAGGATCCAGGGATGAGGAGTGACTGGGATCCAAGGTTGATGTATTCCCAGGATCCAAGGGTGATGAGTGCCCAGCATCCAGGTATTCAGGGATCATATGTGCCCAGGATCCTGATCTCCAGGGCTGATGAGTGCCTGGGATGCAGGGATGGTGAGTGCCCAAGATCTAGGGATCCAGGGATGATGACTGCCCAGAATCCAAGGATGATATGTGCCCTGGAGCCAGGTTTTTAGGGATCATGTGTGCCCAGCATCCTGATATCCAGGGATGGTGAGTGCCCAAGATGACAGGATCCAGGGATGATGGGTGCCTGGGATCCAGAGATGATGAGTGCCCAGGACCCAGGATTTTAGGGATCATGTGTGCCCAGGATCACAATCTCCAGGGCTGATGAGTGCCCAAGATCCAGGGGTGATGAGTGCCCAGAATCCAAGGATAATGTGTGCCCAGGATCCAAGGATGATATGTGCCTGGGATCCAGGGATGATGAATGCCCAGGATCCAGAGATGATGAGTGCCCAGGAGCCAGGTTTTTAGGGATCATGTGTGCCCCGGATCCTGATATCCAGGGATGGTGAGTGCCCAGGATCCAGGGATGATGCATCCCTGGGATGCAGGGATGGTGAGTGCCCATGATCCAGGGACGCAGGGATGATGAGTGCCCAGGATCCAGGGATGATGTGTGCCCAAGATCCAGGGATCCAGAGAAGATGAGTGCCCAGGACCCAGGGCTCCAGGGCTGATACATCCCTGGGATGCAGGGATGGTGAGTGCCCAAGATCCAGGGATCCAGGGCTGATGAGTGCCCAGGATCCAGAGATGATGCGTCCCTGGGATGCAGGGATGATGAGTGCCCAGGATCCAGGGATGGTGAGTGCCCAGGATCCAGAGATCCAGAGATGATACATCCCTGGGATGCAGGACCGATGTCCCCATCCCCATCCCAGAGAGGGATTTTTTGGCCGTGCCGTGGGGACCTCCTC